ATAAACGTCTACCTTACGACATTCTTACAGATGCGCCATACCCGGTATATAATACGGATGATTTCGCGGCAAAACAAATTCATGTCTTTACAGATATTCATAACCAAGTACGATCACATCTAGCGGCGTCACTCGCCGAAATGATCATCAAACAACATAAACATGCTAAACCTGTTGCACTAAACATTGGGGACGCTGTTATGTTAAGAGAACCTGAAAGGAACTCCAAACTTTTGGCAAAATTTTCTGGTCCATTCCGCATAATCTCAAAAGAAGCAGGGAACAAATTCAAAATTTGGAAGCCTAATGCACAGATCGCAGATGTCGTGCACGCGGATCGTCTGAAGAAGACCCAGATAAATGCACCTCCAGTTGATGATGATGTGATTGATACATCCTTACAGATTGTCCAGAAGCAAAATGTCCCAAATGACTATTGTATGAAACTACGTTCTGCGAGTAGACGTTAACGCGTTTGTAATTCCTTACAGAATGGCTTGGATTGTCAGTGTCTTGCTTCTACTCTGTTGTGGCACTGTTGTGTTGACGAAAATGTCCACATCAGTCCTCAAACCAGGTGCACTTGTGGCACCTCTCGGACGCGTTCTCATAGTTGAGGACGTGGTGAACATCAAGTATGAACTACAGCCACTACTCCAACTTCCGCGTCAGATGGAAAACGTCAACGGCCAACTACAATCAGCATTGGACATCCTTCATAGTCTCAGCACAGCTTCGAAGAATTCGACAATAGTTTCACAAACTATAGACCTTCTACACTTTCGTCTCCGGAATCTCTGCAGCGCATTTTTTTACTGTGTTGGGGCAGACCGTGTAGCGGTGTCCTGGGCTGCCGCACAGGGAGCAGGTGTCCTCCTGCGCCTCACACTTGTTGACAGTGTGTCCGTAGTGCTGGCATTTGTAACAGCGTTTCGGTCTGCAGTAGGGTTTGACTGGCACAGTTTCCCACGCCAGTTGAGCCTCCTTGGGTAAGGTTGTATGGTGTCCGATGAGGGTAGTGGTGTCGGACAGCTTCTTCACAACTTGGAGTTGCCCCTTGAGGAGCTCACTCAGCTCTGCTTGGTCCACGTGGGCAATTTCGGCGTGGGAGATTACTCCCAGCTTCAGGTTGTCCCACTTGTAGGCAATCATTTTAAATGGAATGCAGTTCATGTCTGGGATCTCCGCGAGCTGTACGGGCATACTGTAGTGGATTTCTCCCCTACAAACGCTGTTTGTCGCTGAGTAGCCAACCCCACCAATTCCCCAGTGTATGCCTCGTGGTCTGGGTCAACCAGCGCCGCCATACATCACGTAGCGGGGGTCAACTACTAAGCCACGCCTACCCCCCGCTATTTAAGACCTGACCTCGTGGTGACCTGCCCTCTTTCTACCTACACCAACCAGCCAGCAACACACCTCCTCCGCCGCTGCCTGGCGGCCCTCGCTCCTCCTCCGCCTGCCTGGCGGTCCTCTCTCCCGCCGGCGAGCATGGCGACCCACAAGCTGTCCTTCTCTGAGCGTCCTCACCAACCAGCTCTCTCTACATCACGCTTGTAACCACGCTGCCTTCCCAGCACCAAGCTGCATTGTACATCCAATACAACATGTATATAGAGAGCACATTGTGAGTTTCCTTTCTCCATTCCATCCTGAGTGTGAACCAAACATCTCATACCCCACAATACCCTTCTCGGCGAAGGTGATCTTGATGTCACCATGGAGCTTCAGTTGTTCCACCTTGGTGACCCCCACGATCTCATTAGTTTCAAAGAACTTCTTGAGAACAAGGAGTTTTAATTTCTTGGGGCAGATCGGCGTGTCCGGACGTATCCGCGCCACGTTATCAAACTCGTAACCGTTCATGGTGAGAGAGGGTTAGAGGGGAGCGATCACCACGAGGTCAGGTCTTTAATAGCGGGGTTTGGCGTGGCTTAGTAGTTGATCCCCGCTCTGTGGGCGGCGCTGGTTGACCCAGACCACGAGGCATACACTGGGGAATTCGTGGGGTCGGCTACACAGAGACAAACAGCGTTTGTAGGGGAGAAATCCACTACAGGCACACTTGTCCCAAAGCACTAGAATAATATGAAAAGTTTAATAAAATAGGAAAACAAACTGAATTAACCTATGTATAAAAGTTTTGAAGAAACAGTACACATTTTTCCTGTATATGTAATTTTAAGGTTATATTAAAGTTTTATCTTCTCATATAGAATTACAAAAATCAACCTTTGGTAGTGTGGGGTTCAAGATGTTTGGTTCACACTCAGGATGGGATGGAGAAAGGAAACTCACAATGTGCTCTCTATATACATGTTGTATTGGATGTACAATGCAGCTTGGTGCTGGGAAGGCAGCATGGTTACAAGCGTGATGTAGAGAGAGCTGGTTGGTGAGGATGCTCACAGGAGGACAGCTTGTGGGTCGCCATGCTCGCCAGCGGGAGAGAGGACCGCCAGGCAGGCGGAGGAGGGAGGGCCGCCAGGCAGCGGCAGAGGAGGAGGTGTTGCTGGCTGTGGCTGTAGGTAGAGAGAGAGATCACCACGAGGTCAGGTCTTAAATAGCGGGGGTAGGCGTGGCTTAGCAGTTGACCCCCGCTCCGTGGTGTATGGCGGCGCTGGTTGACCTAGACCACGAGGCATACACTGGGGAATTGGTGGGGTCGGCTAGGCAGCGACAAACAGCGTTTGTAGGGGAGAATTCCACTACAATACTCCCCCTTCCCTCCAGGCTGTGTAGGAGACTTGTTGTCTGCAGAGTTGCATAGCACATGTGAGGCAGAACGGGCGGTGCGTGCCTCATGTGAGACAACGGCGATGGCGTGATGAGCCGGTCGCTGGATACAACTGTCTAGATACACAATATCTGTGGGAGTAGAGAGGGAGAATAAGGGTGTGTGGAGGCGATGAATGTTGTGCTTCCCTCACGGCAGGTACAGAGTCGACAGATGCGCCTGCTGGGGTGTGTGGACCTGGGTCAGGAGCAGGGGCTGTGTCAGCAGCAGCGGATGAGGGCTCGTGACAGCAGCTGGGTCCACGACAGCAGCAGGGTGCAGGACATTAGCAGGGAGTACCTGAGGGAGAAAAGAGGGGTGTGTGGGTCCGCACTCAGGAACAGAGGCCGCATCAGGGGCGGCAGGGGTTACTGCTGGGCCGGGGTCGGCGTCTGAGGCAGGACGGGTGTGCTGGGGTCGGTAGGACGTGGTGCTTGGGGCAGGAAGAGGAGCTGGTGTCTGCTTAGAGTAGCAGAGCTGCTCTAGGGTGTCTAACCTGCGGTGTAGAGACAGTAGCTGTAGAGCCGATGAGAGCTGCTTCTGGGTGGATAAGCCAGTCTTCCATGTTGCTTGAAGACTGGGAGCGTGATCAGTTTCTCCTCCATCCTGTGTGAGTGCGAATCTCCGGGAGTCACCATTTGTGGGGTTCAAGATGTTTGGTTCACACTCAGGATGGGATGGAGAAAGGAAACTCACAATGTGCTCTCTATATACATGTTGTATTGGATGTACAATGCAGCTTGGTGCTGGGAAGGCAGCATGGTTACAAGCGTGATGTAGAGAGAGCTGGTTGGTGAGGATGCTCACAGGAGGACAGCTTGTGGGTCGCCATGCTCGCCAGCGGGAGAGAGGACCGCCAGGCAGGCGGAGGAGGGAGGGCCGCCAGGCAGCGGCAGAGGAGGAGGTGTTGCTGGCTGTGGCTGTAGGTAGAGAGAGAGCGATCACCACGAGGTCAGGTCTTAAATAGCGGGGGTAGGCGTGGCTTAGCAGTTGACCCCCGCTCCGTGGTGTATGGCGGCGCTGGTTGACCTAGACCACGAGGCATACACTTGGGAATTGGTGGGGTCGGCTAGGCAGCGACAAACAGCGTTTGTAGGGGAGAATTCCACTACAGTAGAAATGTGAACTGCATTTTGTATGTGTATCACCATTTTATTTTCTTACACTGGAAATATATTTTTATGTAAAATTTATATTAAGTAAATAAGAAACAAAAGGAATTCACTATCATTAGTATAACGTTACTCGTCGATTAATGTGTCTTCTTGTATTTGATTTGTTTTTGGTTTTCAGGAATCAAGGTCAGAGTTGCCAACTTCGCGACTTTGTAGCTAGATCTAGAGCTTTTAGTTTTGTTCTAGCGACATTTTAGAGCGATTTGCGACTTGTCGCAAATCTAGAGATATCCACAGAAATCTAGCGACTTTCTGGATACTTTTGGACTGTCCATGAAAACTCAGTTTTCCTAATTTCGAGCCATAATATATAGCAACGGGGTTACAGGGACAATAAATAATAAGAAAAGTTTAATACATTTGAACGGGTCGTGGTACAGAAGGAGGGACACGTCTATTTCCTGATCACTTGATGTCAGCCCGTCCATGCATCTAACACCCTAAAATTGTGGTCAGAAGTGGCAAATTACAGAGATGCGACAGGTGAAAACCCTTACCATGATCTGGCTGAAATTGCACTCGCTGCCTTATCTCTTCCGCATTCAAACGCAGATGTAGAGCGCACATTTAGTAATATGAACTTTGTGAAATCAAAATTGCGCAACAAAATGAAACTATCGACATTAAAGGCAATTCTTACAATAAAGTATGGGTTAAAAAGACAGAACACCTGTTGTGCAAGTTATGAACTTCCTAGTGATATTTTAAGAAAGATAGGGACTGTGGAGGCATACAGTTACAAGAGAACCTGAACCACGCACTTCACATGCTTCCAGCTCTACAGTTGTTCACACTGCCGACTACTACGAAGAGGACTGGGATGCAATTACTATTGAATAATAGGTAAGTGTGCACATTAAACTTTAAAAAAAATACAGATAATATTTTTATTTTTACATAATGCATTTTATTTATACTCCGTCCATTATAGTCGTCATTATGAAAATATTATTTGCATCAAATTACTGAAGGGGGGGAATAATAGCTAGCGACTTTCCATGGAAGATTTAGCGACATTTAGCTACTTTTAGGTACCAGCCTAGCGACAGTTGAAAATCCGAGTTGGCAACCCTGATCAAGGTTCAGGAGGCTCCAGTGGCCCAGTTAACAGAACAAGCACAGGTTGTGTTGTTGTTGCTGCTGATGACTGGCCTTAACAAAATACCTTATTTTATCATGGATAGATCAAGCAGGTAATGTAAACAGTTATGAAATTTACGTCATAAAGAATTTGTTGACATTAGAGATAAGGTAGACTTGGTGACAGTTGCTGTAGTGTTTGGTAGAGTGTGGAAGACTCGAATTGCTTACTCGACAGTAGTAGATAATCAGCTTGCCTAAGATAATTGTGTAAGTTGATATAATGGTTAATTGATATCTTGGATTATTGTTTACTAAAGTACTCAGTTTATGTCTTTTTACTTTGTGTTTTTTATTTGTCTGAATAAATTGATTTCTCGTTAATTGATTATTCCACCAACCCTACATGAGGATCCTAATGAAAGAATGCATATAAACTTTTAATAGCAGTAAAGGCTTACCACCAACATCCCTAGTTCTTTGTTAATTTTTATAATTTGTAACGGTATTATTTTACTTTTGGACATCACAGGAATCTTAAGAAATTTATATTTGCAATAAATAGTGGTAATTATTGACGATTGACCCGTTTCCTATTTTTCATATGAAAGGATTATAAAAACGCCGCAATATCACTGTTTTATAGTGGACTGTCGAAGTTTGTGCAAATGTGTGAAAAGGGGGCTATTTATAAATTAAACCTAACCTAACCTTACCTTATTTGATATGAAAAACAAACAGCAGAAGCATTATTAGAAGACCTCACCAACCTAACCAAATAAACCAACCTAGCCTTCTCACAAGGGGGCTCTGCCCTCTGGTATATTAAACAGAAAGAACTTACTATGATATGGCGGTCCGACTAATTACCCAAATGTACCCAAATGTAGCCGCAATGAAGTCGAATATTGGTCCTACACGAATTAATCGGACTGCCAACCACTTCTCGAATGGTATTTGGTGTCACGAAGTCACAAAAAAATGGAAAACTTAATTTAAACTGAGTTAATAGATCGCGTGCTTGTACTGAGGGAGCGAGTAATTACCCAAATGTAGTTGCAATGAAGTTAAATGATGGTCCTACAAGTGTAAATCGGGCTGTGAATCACTTCTCGATTATTATTTGGTGTCATAAAGTCACAAAAAATTGGTAAACTTAATTTAATCTGAGTTGTGTTAGGTTAGGTACATGCACTCGATCTATTAACTCAGATTAAATTAACTTTACCAATTTTTTGTGACTTCGTGACACCAAATACTAGTCGAGGTTAGGTTAGGTACAAGCACTCGATCTATTAACTCAGATTAAATTAAGTTTACCAATTTTTTGTGACTTCGTGAAACCAAATACTAGTCGAGGTTAGGTTAGGTACAAGCACTCGATCTATTAACTCAGATTAAATTAAGTTTACCAATTTTTTGTGACTTTGTGAAACCAAATACTAGTCAACAAGTGATTGGCAGTCTGATTTATTCATGTAGGACCATTATTTGACTTCATTGCGGCTACATTTGGATACATTTGGGTACATTTGGGTAATTAGTCGGACCCTGATATGGTGTAATTTTAGGTTTTTTGTGGACGTGAGAGCATCTGCCCATACCGAAGGGTTCATAAGCATACACTGAACATCGACATCAATCCAGCCCGGGCGGCGGAGTGTTTTGGGTATTATTGCAGTTTCGGCCAATACACGGCCAACTGTTTTGACCATCTCCAACCTTTCGATCTCCTTCTTTGGAGGATTTCTAACCCCATTTCAACCAGGGGGCAAAGAATAATGTCAGAAATGAATTTGAAAGTCTTCCATACTTTGGGTGGGGGATAATTCTAAAATGGGTACTTTCCCCTGGAAATAAATGTCAAATTCTATTAAATCACACCAAAATACATAGGATTAACTAATTTCTAAACTGCTAGGGCATATTGATCAAAACTGCAATTTTACCGTGTTTTGAAATACCCTGTACATTAATATGATTCGCTGTTTACATCCTGGGATGAGACATCGCCACTGCATTATCACAGAAGACAACGTCAGTATTAACCAAATTAGTTTAGACACTTCTAAGACACTTTTCTTTTCTGTTGTTTCCTTTGCAAACAACAAAGGTAGTAGGCAGCTACCAAACAGGGAGATACTACCACCTGGAAAGATATTGAAAGCATAATGTATTGTTTAATGGTAGACCCTGCCGCTATATGTGACACAGTCCCAGGTTGCTGATCCGACTTTCTGCTTCATTTACACACAATTGACAACACACGTGATCCAGGTACTGTATATGCTGATAGCCACAAGGAAAAAAGAAAACATGAAGTTCCCAAGCACTTTCGTGTAATTCACATCTTCAGGGGTGGGTACAGACTAAGGAGAAGTACAAAACAAGGTGTATATATACAGAGGAGGGTGAGATCAGGTCCACAATGGTCAGGTATTAGGTAATGACCCTACTAATCTTTAAAAAGCACTGCAACGGTCGGTCGGTAGTCAGGTTAGAGGGTAAGGTGACCCAACCTTCTCACCTGGTTGCAAATCTTAATTACAAAATTGTCCAGTTTGTACATGCCATTACTCAAATTCATGTTGACTGCTTTGGTATGTTTAATGAGACTAGATTCTATAATGTTCCTTCTGTCAACTGAATTACAAGGTAATATTGAGGAGGCATTATCCCAGTCAATGCAATGCTTGTTGTCCCTCAAATGAACAAACAGAGCATTGGAGCATTGGATTCCTGGCCTGTCCTAACACTATATTTATGTTGTTTAAGTCTAGTTACAAGATCTTTACCTGTCTGGCCTAAGTAAAACATATTACATTCCTTGCAAGGAACTTTATAAATGCAACCAATTGTGTTGTTGGGGGAGTTCTTGATTAACATTTGTTTAACAGTGCATAAGTTTTTAAATGCCACATTGACGTTACAGGTTTTTAGTTGTAAAGGAATTTGAGAGAAATTTTTGTGAAATGGTAATACTAAGAGATTCTTATGGTCATGGGTGGGCTTGGGATCAGTTCTATAAAAAGATTTCTTAGTAATGTTAAGGCATTTGTCTATAAAAGATCTAGGGTATTAAGGTTTCAAGCCAATATTAAGAGATATTTATATTATCAAAAGCGCTTGGAATGGTTATCAGCATATACCTGGATCATGCGCACCTACTGTGATTTCCTGTATATATATATATATATATATATATATATATATATATATATATATATATATATATATATATATATATATATATATATATATATATATATATATATATATATGAGGGCCGATAATAAGACGCAAAAATAAGATAATATATTGTGAAGCCTGTCCTGGGATGCGAATGTCAAAACGCTTGGTTTGTTGGCAAGTGCTGACATTTGGCAACTGAGAACACGTCACGGCTTGTAGTCAGTGCGCCTCTGGCAGCTGTGAGGGGAAGGGTTTTTGTGTGGGTTCCCGCGCCAGGTGCCCATGTTTTGTCTAGTTTAAGGTGCATTAACCTGACATAGTGGCCATCAGAGATGTCCAGGAGGGTTACTACAAGAGACGATATTGCAGCAGTGATTGCATTGTACAAAGCGAACCATGTACTGAGAGAAATATCGGCTCAGACTGGTGTGGCATTACGAGTTGTTCAAAATCTTGTCAAACGTTTCCGTGACCTTGGAGAGGACGAGTTACCAGCTCCATTACCTAAGTCTGGTAGGCCTAAATTATTGTCTCCACGGACACTTAAGGTTATTTCTCGACAAGTTCGGTCCAATCCCTCACTCACAGCACGTGAAGTGAAAGAGAGAAACCCCCGTCTTTTGAGTCACGTCTCGTTACGTTGTGTTCAACAAGCCCTACACGATGACCTGGGATTTAAGAGCTTTCATGCCCGCCGTAAACCTCTGTTGACAAAGAGACAGAAGGAAAATAGAGTGAAATTTTGCAAGAAATATGAAGTGTGGGATTTAGAGACATGGAGGAGTGTATTATGGTCAGATGAGGCTACGTTTTCTGTGACTGGGAGTAATGGAGGGAGGGTGTACCGCCCCCCCCCACTCAGACGCGCACCTCCCACAGTACACAGTGAAGACTGTTAAGCACCCTGCCTCGCTTATGGTTTGGGCTTCCTTTACGTATTATGGTGTTGGTGAACTAGTAATCCTCCCTAAGAACCAGATGATGAATCAGTACAACTATCTTGAACTGCTCAGTGATTTCTTACCTGAATCATTTGATAAAGCTAAGGCAAGCCTTTTCATGCAGGACGGTGCCCCATGCCACACTGCTAAAAGTGTCATACAGTGGCTCAAAGACTGTGAGGTACCTTTCCTTAATGACTGGCCTGGCAGTAGCCCAGATCTTAACCCAATAGAAAATTTGTGGTCCATTGTTAAGCGTCGTCTGCGCGACGCTGACACATCATCAATCCCGAAGCTAGAGGCAGCCATCAAGGATACCTGGGCTAACTTGCCACCTGACCTCTTGCAAAACCTTGCTGACAGTGTTCCTCAAAGGCTAAAAGACTGTCTGAAGCGCAGAGGAAACACTACAAAGTATTAATTGAAGTGGTAAGTGTTACTTAACTTTATTTATATAACATAATCGTAAATATCAATATTTTTTCAGCACACGAACTAACATTTCCGTGAGATTTTACATATATATATATATATATATATATATATATATATATATATATATATATATATATATATATATATATATATATATATATATATATATATATATATATATATATATATATATATATATATATATATATATATATATATATATATATATATATATATATATATATATATATATATATATATATATATATATATATATATATACATTAGGGTGTTTCACACAACGATCACAATTACAAGCATAACTCCAGCTGTGCTTGAACGTGTTCTTCAGCAGTGGAGGACACGCATTGAAGAGTGTTTTCAACAGAATGGTAGTCATGTAGAGCATATTACAGTTGTACCCTGCTTAATGCTGTCAATTGAACCCACAGGGTACCGCGTTAAGTGAAAACCGCGTTAAGTGAACAACAGAACATATGGGATTAATTCCAATAGAAACTGGCCCGACCCCCAAACTCCACTTT